ATAAAATGATTTGTAGCGCAAGAGTGTTCAGATGGATCATATAATAATGTTTCTAGATTAAGAAAAAGATATAATTTATGTTATAAATCACATTTTAATTCTGTTTGTGACCATGGAAAACTGAAGTAGAGAATACATTATGATTATAGGTGGATCGAACTGTTTTAGTCCAAGAAAGTTAATTCATTTAGAACTCATGAATGTTTTTTTCGGTGCGGGGTTTCATTTCCTTTGGTGATTTGTGACAATAGTCCTGCATTGTCTACCCACTTAAGTACTTTTCCCAAATAATTAATTAGAGATATTTTCTGAGCTGTTAGGATAAACATAGGCAGGTAACAAGGAATGCAAAAATGAGACTCAGAAGGTTTGAGGTATTGAATGGAAGTTGTAACAAGGTAGAAAGCCTTTCATCTTCTTGATCTCTGGTTCAGATTCATTCCAGAAGGATAGTGCCCAAAATGGGTACCTTCTATTAGATATCTGGTGGCCTCTGCAAAATGAATTGGGGGAATCTCAGGTTAGTTACTAGTGATCACTGGTTCACCTTACAAAAATACTATCACAAATGGGTTCTGCTGGAACTGCCAGTTAATGCTAAAGCAGATAGTACTAATAATACATTTTAATTTCTAAAGTGCTCAGAACCCAAAGGCCTCTGCAAACAAAAATGGGGCCCCTGTTGCCCACCTCCTCAAGAACAATATTTCCCACAAACCATTAAACAAGCTAGACACGAAAGAAAGCGTTGCTACTTACCAAGGAGAAAGGCACAAACGTGTTTTGACTCAGCATTCTAAACTTGTGGGCCTCCAGCTAGACAGTTCTTCGCCCATCTTCTCAAGGCTGTGCCTAAGGACAACAAATGGTCTCTCAGCTAGACTTTAAGGTTTCGTAAAGTAAGGACCAACTTCTGCCTTCAGATATATGTATGCCACTACGACTAAAATCAATGAGAGTTCCACATTTATATCTGTGGGCAGTATGTAGCCCTAAAATATAAGTGTGAGGACCCTTGAGCGTAGACAAAATGCTCTCTCACCCCTAGAGATCAGGGACCAAATACAGCTCCCGTTGAAGTCAATGTGCCTGCTTACTCTAGGATTGAATTTGTCCCTTTTCTTGTAGAACAGCTTTGTGGCATGTTGATAGGGAAGCCTGAAATGCTGCTGCCAATGCTATATGTATTCTGTGGTAAGGAAGACTTTGCTTTCAAGAGAAGTCAATCCAGCACCTTTTATAAATACTAAATTCTTTGAAAAAAAGTGGAGAGTAGAGGTCATTGTCTATGCAAGTAAAATGCTTTTAGCTACAATACAAGATAAGTATTAGGAATTTGAGAGCTAGAGCAAATTTTGGTTAAAAAGATCTCTTCTATGATAAAACAGAAGGCAGAGCAATTGGCAAGCATGTCATTTGTTATCTGTCTTTGCTGTAGGCCTGCAAGATCCTGGGTTCAAGTCCCACAAAAGGATTTCAGCTCCTAGTCAATGCTGAAACTGCAGTGCAGTATTAGAGTTGCTGCAAAGTGGCCCTGTCCTTTGTACAAGATGTTAAATTGTGGTCCCTTTTGCCCATCTCATGTGGCCATCCAAGTGCAAGGTGACACATTTTAAAAGATTTTCCAAGACACAGATAGAAAACCCCATCACTGAGTCAATTAAGAATAGACTGGATAAAGCACCAGAAGATATAGTGAAGGGAATATACTGCACTGGCTATTGATGGCTGCTAACACCTGTAGGGAAATGCTCCTGTGCAAAGACATGGACGGTATACCTGATGGGGAGGAAAAGACTCAGGCAATAGGTAGAGGTTGGAAGACCACGATGAGGAGAAAGTGTGGTGTTGGGTTACTTCTGGGTGGCAGTGAGCTACAAACTCGGATAATTTTTGGTCCTGGTTACCTGAGGGATGCTCTTCTCCCAGTGTGCTCTTGTTGCATTTAAGCTTAGCTAGGATTCTGTGGGTAATATTCCATACATTTTGACCACTGGGAGTTGTACACAGGGCATTCTCAGTGGAGTGCCATTGATTTTGAGATTTGGTTTCTCCCTCTCTTCTGTGAGAGCTCACATGCAATGACCTTTTAGCACACAGTGAAGACATGTGTCTCTTTATCCAGTTTTCAGGTTGGATATATTAGGATATGTATCGGAATGTATTTTTAGAATATGTATTTAGGATTGTTAGGATATGTACTTAGACTGTATTGAAGAGAGCCTTTTTATGTTGGTTTAGTCAATATGTTGTGACTTGTAACAGTATATCTTTACAAGTGTAAAAATAAAATCATTTGTCTCATCATTAATCCCTCTTAGATTAAAGTTGAGCAGTGAGATCAGAGTTATTTCTAAACTCCAGCTTTAGATTTTCTTCATAATAGATCCCCCGACAACCTCACCCTAAGCAAAGGAAATAGCGCACAGAACAGCTGGGCCAGCAGTGGTGCAGATGCATATATGACGTGTAGGTGTTAGCTAGTAACCCAGCAACAGCTGAAGTTAATTTTCTTCTTGGGGATGATGCCACACAGTCATGGCACAGGAAGTGAGAGAGTGGTGCACTAATCACCTTCTCTCAGTTCAGTATTATTCGCCTTGCTCTCCTGACCCCCTTGCTCTGAGTTACTAGTCGATTTCTTCCCCTTTCAGGTAATTTGCTGAGAGCTTGTTGTCTAGAATTAGAACTGCTCAGTGTTCACGTGTGAAAATTGCTGCAGGATTTTTGCTTTCTACAGCCTCTGATCTTTGTTTGTTTATAACCAGTTTACCTAGAGAAGAGAAAAATGGGGCTTTTATACAATGCAAAGGTGTCACTGAGTTTTGATGGCAGACAGTCATTACTGACATGTTCTTTTTATTGGACCTGAATAGCGCTGCACATAATGAAGCAACAGAGAGCCTCTCCAATGAAATGTTGATTTGTAACCGGAGACCCTTTAAATAGTGGTGCCCATAGTAGCATTTTTAGCCAATACGTTTTAATTTTATGACTTTCTCTCTTTATTGTGTTAGCTAGGTTGGTACTAGATGAGCAGCCTATCCCAGTGAGCTGGGGGAAATGAGACTGCTGTGAAGGAGACCTGGTACATGCACACCCAGCAGTGGGACAGTTTGCACTGACATGATAGTGGTGGGACTTACAATGCCATAGAATGAAATCCTTTGTTGGATCATTCAGATAGTGACAGTGAAGTGAAACTGAGGCAGACAAAAGAGACCAGAGCTCTGTTCTTCTTCCCAGACCTTAATCATCTCTGCCTCCAAATAATAACAACTTTGGGTGCCAGAGGTAACTGGTATTATTAAAGTTGTGTTCCTGGTAGTTTTGTAGATTCCCTGGTAACCATATTGACAATAGAGGATCATTCTTATCTAGCCCCTTTCACCCTTCAAATGCTTTGCATAACTATGCATGGGGATCAATTCACCTACTTCTAGGGTGAAAGGTAGCAGATGTTAACAGCTCACAGCACTATCACGTGATAGTTTAGGAATAGAAGTGAAGAAGAATATTGTATTTCCATTTTCAGATAGGCAGGATCTTCTTAACCAAAACAGACTATGCCCAGAAAACCTAGGCTAATACCATTACTCTTTCAGAAAGTGTCATCCACATCATGCCCCATCATGTCATGCTGGGTACGGGTTCAGCATTTTATTATTATGATTTATTATATGTATTTCTGTAGTACGTAGGAGGGCCTAGTCATGGGCCAGGAACCTATTTTGATAGGTGCTGTACAAACCTAAGACACAAAGACAGACCCTGCCCCCAGGAGCTTACATTTAAATAGACAAGACAGATGCAGGGTAGGGGGAAGGGGATAACACTAGGGTGACCAGACAGGAAGTGTGAAAAATTGGGATGGGGGTGGGGGGTAATAGGAGCCTATATAAGAAAGACCCAAAAATCGGGGCTGTCCCTGTAAAATCAGGACATCTGGTCACCCTAGATAACACACAAGTGGAGTGAATAATGTGATGGCAGCAAACGTCATGTTAGTTCCATGATTTTTTGGGGATGTGTGGGGAGTTAATTCAGGGGGGATCAGCTGAAGGGAAGGGGGTGAGGGGGACTAAGAAGGGGGTAAGAGGAGTGCTGCTGAGGCAATGAGACTGCGAGGGAGGGAGAGGGTTGGAGCAAACAGCTAATCAGCACATGCCAGAGAGAGTCCACCCCAAACTGTAGAGACTTCTCTGAAAGTCCAGCTGTCCCTGCTTTGGCTTTTCTGCCTTGGCCAGGGTCCATGTCACAAAACCCACCATCTCTATTGGCATTGTTGATGGCAGGTTGTGCAGAAATGACAGACTGAATTGGCATTGAGAGTGAAAAACCAGTTCACCCTGGAAGTGGGTCCTCCATGTCCAGGTGGAAGCACATCAGTGGAATGTGTTTGGACGCTTGCTCTGCCACTGCTCATGCTGTCCCTGGTCTTTGGATGAACGCAGGGCTGACATTCTCAGAGCTGTTAATCCAACATTTTGACAAATGTGGAAATTCACTTTAAAATTAAAAAAGAAAATGAGATACAGTCTTGAATGTTCAAACCTACATAAAAGTTGTCTGATTGTCAGACGTGCTGAGAACCCCAAACTCCCATTCATTTCCATAGGAGTTATGGACATTCTGTAGCTCTCAAAATCAGGGCATTTAGTTTTGTGCTTAAATATGAATTTAGGTGCCTATCTTTAGGCAGCAGATTTTGAAAACTGGCCCATATCTCTTTACCCACTCATCTAGTATGAGTATAAAGGTCTCCTAAACCAGAAATCCTTTTTTCCTTCTTGAAACTTAGACAGCTCAACTGAGGGGTTTTTTTAATCTTCTAATTTTGAACAAAGTTGCTTGTATGTTTTTTTCCAGACCAGAATGAATTTTTACATCCAAGTTACTATATAAATCCCTGAAAATAGTTTTTAATGATGAAGATGCTGACAGAATCATAGTGGATTGATACAATGTCTCACAAGGTACAATTACTGTTTGTGCTGCAGATCTCAACTGTCTGAGAATGCATCAGACACAAAAGATGAACTATTGGAACCAGGATCAACAGACCAGTTGGAACATGATAGCAAAAATGCAGAAGCCAGCTTACCCTCCCTTTGTCTCAAGCAAGTGTTTCCAAAATATGCCAAACAGTTCAGCTATCTACGACTGGTGGACAGAATGGCTGCATTGTTTATCCGATTCCTTGGAGTAAAAGGGACAATGAAGTTGGGACCAACAGGTTTCCGAACATTTATAAGGTTAGTAGTAAAGGATTTAAGATCTCCCAGACCTATCCAATAGCACTGCTATTCTTGTGTTTATGTGATAGAATAGTTAAGACCAGAGAAAACATTTCCCCCCAAATCCTACTGAACAGTTGCACACTCTTCTGTATTTTCTTTCTTGTCATTGCTGATTACTGAAATAAATACATGTGTATAATATAAACGTTTTCTTCTTTTATAGTCCGTCTACTGCTCTGATTCCTTTAGTGATCGCATCATCCAGAATTAGAGAACACACTTGTTTGCATGGTAGTGAACTGTGCTGTCACAAGCATGGGGTTGGGGGACACCCTTACCTGAATTCTTGTTAATAGGAACAAGAAGAGAGTTCCCATTTTCCCCCCGTTTGTCTTGGTATTATACAAGGAAAGAAAAGGAAATGGCTAATAGGTGACATTGTCATTGGCAGCTGTAAAAATTGTCATTCCTTAAATTGAGGATTGTCTCTTTAAAGGAATAAGCAGCTTGAGCAGAAGGTCTCAAAAATAAAATCTTGGCTATTTTTTTCATACCAGTGTCCTTTGATGTAAATGAGGGGGGAAGAAAGTGCGCAAATATCCAAGTTCTGAACAGAATTATGACTGAGCGGAATGTTTTCCAAAATTTAGCACTCAGTATCAAAAGCTCTTCAAAATGAAAGGACAATGTGGTAATCTTTCTGTGCTTATCTTCCTATGCTTTGATACAGCTGAGTTTCCAAAGCTATTTGGCTGGTGAATTTAGTGTTTTGTAGTTGCTAACAAGCCTCTCTCTCTGGGAAATTTTTGTTTTAAATTCTGCCTCATTATAAACTAATATCTTAATCATATTTCCTTCTCTGAAAATACAGTAGATATAATCTGCAGGAGCAATATAGTTGCACTATATTCTGGCAATACTGACACTAACCCGTACCTCCCAAAACAGAACAGAGTGGGAAAATAAACATAATTATACTCTGTCTTAATTCGTTTTCACAGTGTCCATCTCTTGAAACGTGCTACACGAGTCAGCAGTTTGAGTGAATTATGCTAATATCTGGCAAGCCCCATATTTTTTTCTTCTGGTAAAATGGGGAATATCTAAGTGTATTTATCTCATTTTTCCTTAACTATGTAAACCCCTTCCCCTAAATCACTGTCTCACTATGCGCATAAAAACAGTGTACGTCAGCATTTATTAAGTACCCTTTTTTGTAATTGGATGGTGGTGTACTTGCAGTCTGTGACAGCGGCAGTAGCTGTCGTGGAAATTGTTGTCATGCCACAAATTGAGGAGTATCCATTTGGCTGGGGAACAAGCTGTAAGAGCCAAAGGACTCTAGTTTCGTATGACTGGTTTCCTAAAACAGTTAAACAGGAATCTAGAATTTATTCATAGAGCTGACTCCTCAGTTTAGTTTATTTTTTTTAAAGCCCCCATTTTGCTTTAACTTGTTCCCTCTTGCTCCATTTTCCAGCTCTTCAATATGCATGTTTGAGCAACTGAGACTCCCTTATACTTGGATGGAGCAGGTGTGAGAAGGTTGGAGGGAGTGTAAAGGGGTGTTCAGAGTAAGGGAGTCTATTTTACACCTCCTGATACTGAAGTTGACCTGTCCTCTCACCCCTTTGGGAAACTCCTGCCTGCTGTTTGGAAGAATTAAACTCCACATAAAATGATTGTGTACATGCCTGTGCTGCTTTGAAAACATCCAGCTAAATGTCAGTCTGGATCTGCTTATACAAACTGCAGTTGTGAAGTGTTTAGGCTTGTCACTCAATTCAGCTGGCGTTGTGGATTGAATCTGTTGGGTATAGACATTATTGAAGAGTTATTTTTTCCTCCCATATTTGTATGTGGAAAAACAAGTTCTGGAACAGTGTAGCAAACATAATTCCGATATCACAAATGAGGAAAATAATAGCATTGGAGACTAAGGTAATTTCCTTTTACAGTACTTGTTATTTAGGTACGTGTTTAGCTTTTTTAGAGAGGTAATAGATCCTTAAAAGAAGATGGTCATAGACTGACCTGTGATCCAAAGCTTTATTCAGTAGGAACACTTGGGCCTTTATTCCACTGCCAGTTGATGGTCTCTAACAAATGTTAGTATTTTTCATAGTCCAGATCTACTTGTTTAATTGCCAGTAAACCAGAGGAATGTGAGTGTGTTTGGATTGAGACATTGTGAAGAGGAGCTATTGAAGCAGGGTGATTTCCCTAGCTATGGGATCAGACCCTGCTGTTCCCAGCCAGGAGGGAGGCTTTCCAAATGCTGCTCACTGATACACTGTGCACTAATGATTTGCATTGGGAAATTGCAACTTGCAGTGGCAGGGAATTCAATTTATTTTTTCATATACTTTTATTTTGTCATTTTCATTGTTTTTTAATGGCTGTACATGTTCCAGTTATGGTACACACATCCCATTTTCTGACTTTCATTGACTATGACAAAATAAATAAGCAGCAGGAGCAGATGCACTCTTAAAATAGAGATTCTCTTTTTATCCAGATGCCCTTAGCAGTCAAGAATTAATAAAAGCAAATAGAGTTATATAGATTACAGATAGAAAAGACTGAGGGGCATCTGCTCCATCCACAGGATTGTTCACTACAATGTATTTTTTACTGTTGAATCCAGCCTTGATTTAGATACCGTGGTGACGAGCATAGTATAAATGTCAGGATAGATGGATAGATATTCCTCTTAAAGATTATTCCATAATTATTATTCTTCTTCTCCTTGTCCTTGAATGTTGAACTTCCGAAGCCATTTTGCAGCAGCCTCATTGGCAAAGTACAGAGGCCTCAGACCACCATCAAATCTTGTCAGAGGGCATTTGTCAGTGATGTGTGATACTGTCTGCCTTTGGCATGTCGGATCTTCTCATTGGCCCCAGGCATGAAGGCTAGTTGCACGCTGTCAAGGCTGGATCCCCACTTTGAACTTTAGGGTTCAAATGTAGGGGCCTGCATAAAAACTTCTAAGCTTATCTACCAGCTTAGCTTTGGTCCGCTGCCACCATCACAAGAATTCCCTCCCTGGGAAGCCTTGAGAAACCTTTCACCAATTCCCTGGTGAACACAGATCCAAACCCCCTTGGATCTTAAAACAAGGAGAAGTTAACCATCCCCCCTCCTTCCTTCCACCCTCCTTTCACCAACTCCTGGTGAATACAGATCCAAACCCCCTTGGATCTTAAAACAAGGAGAAATCAATCTGGTTCTTAAAAAAGAAGGCTTTTAATTAAAGAAAAAGGTAAAAATCATCTCTGTAAAATCAGTATGGAGAATAACTTTACAGGGTAATCAAACTTAAAGAGCTCAGAGGACCCCCCTCTGTCTTAGGTTCAAAGTACAGCAAACAAAGATACACACTCTGGTAAAAAGGTACATTTACAAGTTGAGAAAACAAAGTAAATCTAAGACGCCTTGCTGTCTTTTTACTTACTAGTTTGAAATAGGAGAGACTTGTTTAGAAAGATGGGGAGAACCTGGATTGATGTCTGGTCCCTCTCAGTCCCAAGAGCGAACCACCCGTTAAAACAAAGAGCACACACAAAAGCCTTTCCCCCCCCAAGATTTGAAAGTATCTTGTCTCCTTATTGGTCCTTCGGGTCAGGCGTCAGCCAGGTTACCCGAGCCTCTTAACCCTTTACAGGTAAAAGGATTTGGAGTCTCTGTACACAGAGAGCTGTTACCCTTCCCTTCATAGTTATGACACACGCTGACCTGGCCCATTCAACATCAGTTCAGAAGGACCCAGGAGTGATGTGGCAAATCAAAGCCAGGTACAAGCATGGTTGGGTCAGTTATTAAGAGACTGGTTTCTGACTTCAGCTGCAGACCATTCTTCATGCCACATAGACATTGCAGAGAAATCTGGGCAGGGCAAGTGGGCCCACAATGGGTGCCTAACATACCTCACTGCAGGAATGTCTTCCTTCATGTTCTCTAGTGTCTCTTCAATTCAGCTCTAATATCAGTAAAATCTAGATTTTTCTCAGAGTTCTCCAGTCTCTATGCCCTTCTTCCAAGAATCCTCTAGTAAATTTATAAGAGATTCTGTTCTTGTTGCCCATGTCAGAGAATTTGCTAGATTCCTTTCTTCAAGAATGAAATGGAAGTACATCAGTGTATAGATATTATGTGAGCAGGTGGTTACAAACTGTCCTCACAAGTTGTAGCCAATCAAAGCTTTATCTTCTTCCAGTGGGTTCAGTTTATTCACAAAAGGAACTCAAAATGAAATACTATGAAATACAGCCTAAGCCCATGCTTGGTTGCACCTAGGGTACCTAGAACAGCTCAACCCACAGCCTAGATCTCCTTTACCTCTAAAGAACCACTACCATCTCTCTTATAGCTAGGTGGGTTAAGAAGCTATTTGGAAGTGTGAGACAGCAAAACACATGTAATATTTTCCAGCAGAAGCATCTCCTTGCAGGATCAATCTCTTAGATACTCCATGTAGCTTTATACAGGTATTTCAAATGGATCAGTGAGTATCATTCAGTGATAGACTCATAATAATAACTCCAGGAGGGTAGAACATAAGAGTGGCCATATTGGGTCAGACCAAAGGTCCATCTAGCCGAGTATCCTGTCTTCCAACTGTGGCCAATGCCAGGTGCCCCAGAGGGAATGAACAGAACAGGTAATCATCAAGTGATCCATCCCCTTTTGTCATTCCCAGCTTCTGGCAAACCATCCCTGTCCATCCTGGCTAATAGCCATTGATGGACCTATCCTCCATGAATTTATATAGTTCTTTTTTGAACCCTGTTATAGTCTTGGCCTTCACAACGTCCTCTGGCAAGGAGTTCCACAGTTGACTGTGCATTGTGAGAAACAATACTTCCTTTTGTTTGTTTTAAAGCAGGGGTGGGCAAACTTTTTGGCCTGAGGGCCACATCTGGGTATGGAAATTGTATGGCGGGCCATGAATGCTCCCGAAATTGGGGATTGGGGTGCGGGAGGGGGTGAGGGCTCTGGCTGGGGATGCGGGCTCTGGGGTGGGGCTGGGGATGAATGGTTTTGATTGCAGGAGGGTGTTCCAGGCTGGGACTGAGGGATTCGGAGGTTGGGAGGGGGATCAGGGCTGGGGCAGGGGGTTGGGGCGCGGGGCAGGATCAGGGATGCAGGCTCTGGGCGGCGCTTACCTCAAGCTGCTCCCGGAAGGAGCGCCATGTCCTACATGGCGGAGTGGCCAGGCGGCTCTCCGCGCTGCCCTGTCTGCAGGCACTGCCCCGTCTGCAGGTGCCACCCCTGCAGCTCCCATTGGCCGCGATTCCCAGCCAATGGGAGCTGCGGGGTGGGGGGGCACTTGGGGCGGAGGCAGCATGCGGAGCCCCCTGGTTGCCCCTACACGTAGGAACTGGAGTGGGGACATGCCCCTGCTTCCGGGAGCTGCACAGAAAGCCCCTGACCCCGCTCCCCTACTAGAGCGCCACAGAGGGGCAAGCCCCCAACCCTGCTCCCCAGCGGGAGCTCAAGGGCCAGATTAAAAGGTCCGATGGGCCGGACGTGGCCAGCAGGCCGTAGTTTGCCCACCCTTGTGTTAAAGGGTAGCAGTTTGTAACAATTGGTCAAGCCATATTTTTGATGAGAAATAGTAAGTGGATTTTTTTGGTGATTCATAGATTCTAGGACTGGAAGGAACCTCGAGAGGTCATCGAGTCCAGTCCCCTGCCCTCATGGCAGGACCAAATACTGTCTAGACCATCCCTGATAGACATTTATCTAACCTACTCTTAAATATCTCCAGAGATGGAGATTCCACAACCTCCTTAGGCAATTTATTCCAGTGTCTAACCACCCTGACAGTTAGGAACTTTTTCCTGATGTCCAACCTAAACCTCCCTTGCTGCAGTTTAAGCCCATTGCTTCTTGTTCTATCCTTAGAGACTAAGGTGAACAAGTTTTCTCCCTCCTCCTTATGACACCCTTTTAGATACCTGAAAACTGCTATCATGTCCCCTCTCAGTCTTCTCTTTTCCAAACTAAACAAACCCAATTCTTTCAGCCTTCCTTCATAGGTCATGTTCTCAAGACCTTTAATCATTCTTGTTGCTCTTCTCTGGACCCTCTCCAGTTTCTCCACATCTTTCTTGAAATGCGGTGCCCAGAACTGGACACAATACTCCAGTTGAGGCCTAACCAGCGCAGAGTAGAGCGGAAGAATGACTTCTCGTGTCTTGCTCACAACACACCTGTTAATACATCCCAGAATCACGTTTGCTTTTTTTGCAACAGCATCACACTATTGACTCATATTTAGCTTGTGGTCCACTATAACCCCTAGATCCCTTTCTGCCGTACTCCTTCCTAGACAGTCTCTTCCCATTCTGTATGTGTGAAACTGATTTTTCCTTCCTAAGTGGAGCACTTTGCATTTGTCTTTGTTAAACTTCATCCTGTTTACCTCAGACCATTTCTCCAATTTGTCCAGATCATTTTGAATTATGACCCTATCCTCCAAAGCAGTTGCAATCCCTCCCAGTTTGGTATCATCTGCAAACTTAATAAGCGTACTTTCTATGCCAATATCTAAGTCGTTAATGAAGATATTGAACAGAACTGGTTCCAAAACAGACCACTGTGGAACCCCGCTTGTTATGCCTTTCCAGCAGGATTGGGAACCATTAATAACAATTCTGAGTACGGTTATCCAGCCTGTTATGCACCCACCTTATAGTAGCCCCATCTAAGTTGTATTTGCCTAGTTTATCGATAAGAATATCATGCGAGACCATATCAAATGCCTTACTAAAGTCTAGGTATACCACATCCACAGCTTCTCCCTTATCCACAAGACTCGTTATCCTATCAAAGAAAGCTATCAGATTGGTTTGACACGATTTGTTCTTTATAAATCCATGCTGGCTATTCCCTATCACCTTACCACCTTCCAAGTGTTTGCAGATGATTTCCTTAATTACTTGCTCCATTATCTCCCCTGGCACAGAAGTTAAACTAACTGGTCTGTAGTTTCCTGGGTTGTTTTTATTTCCCTTTTTATAGATGGGCACTATATTTGCCCTTTTCCAGTCTTCTGGAATCTCTCCCGTCTCCCATGATTTTCCAAAGATAATAGCTAGAGGCTCAGATACCTCCTCTATTAGCTCCTTGAGTATTCTAGGATGCATTTCATCAGGCCCTGGTGACTTGCAGGCATCTAATTTTTCTAAGTGATTTTTAACTTGTTCTTTTTTTATTTTATCTGCTAAACCTACCCCCTTCCCATTAGCATTCACTATGTTAGGCATTCCTTCAGACTTTTCTTGCAAAATCCAGCTGATTGAAAAACATGTATAGCAGCTTGTTAATCCTGTTGTTTTCAGGATATTGATATGAAGTTGAACACATTGAATGTTCAGAACTTACTTAGAGGTGTGGCAGTATCCACAATACTGGATCTGCTCACTGCTAGTTCCTATCAGAGCTGGTGTCCGAGTGCTCTGAACAAATGGGAAGGCTGGTTGTACACGTGACGTTGTAAGTGAGAACATACAGGTCTTTCTCCATTATATAGCCCATGTATATTTAACGAGTGCTGGTTTGATTGATATCTGCAGCAAGCTAGGTGGCCATGGCTTTCAGTTGAGCTCTGTGTGCCTTCATAGTTGCCCACCTGGCCTGAATAAACTCTTTATCCCAGTTGCCTTCCCACCATTTGGCTAACTTTGGAAGTAATCAGACTTTTGCTTGATCTTTATTTGGTTTATATTTAACAGGAACTGCAAGCTGAGTAACAGCAATTTTTCAATGGCTTCCGTGGATATTCTGTACATCGATATCACAAGAAGGTGGAATAGTATGGGACTAGACCAAAGAGAATCAGGTAATTCCATTCCATACTGGGAGAGTATGTAAGTTTCTGTTTCTAGATAGCTTTTGCCCTCATAAGTGCACACCCAGCTTCCACTAATGTTTGTGGGAACGGTGCCTCTGCATCTGACTGCAGAATTTGGCCCATTAGTTCTATACCAGCTTCCCTTCATGTGTAGGGTAGGTCATCCTTGTTTTCAGGTCCTCATTGGACTTGGGTTTCACAAAGCCTCCCTTCTTGTGCTTGCAATTTTGCAGGTGTAATTTTGGTTTTTGGAGGTGCATTTACTGTCATCTGCACCTGCAAACTCATCTGGTGTTCGAAGGCACTTTGCCTTCAGCCTTGCACTGAATCCAAGGCACTTACCAATAACCTGTTAATGCACATGCTGAAGTGCCTTACATTTATGTTCACATAAGCAGATGCTGTGATGCCTCATCCAGGTCCACCAAATCCATAGTATCCTTAATAACACCAGTGAAGTCTCCATTCTAGCATAACGTGGTGCACCCTGCATTCAGACAGTACTTCACACAGCTAACAAAAAAGACATCAATTCAAGAGCTCCAAACAGATATGTCTAGCTGCTTTGTTGGTCAGTTCTGCTCCCCGATTGGGTATTTTTGGTAAAATCCAAGTACTGCATTCGTTTACTTTTCAGATGGCAGGTTCCACCCTACAGCTCCTCATTCTCTGTCCTTGGCTTTGTGATGAGCAAGGAATGTATGATGCATTGTAGCAGGAACTTACACTACACCTCAGCTGTTAAATTGGCTCCAAATGTAAATGATATCCAAAAGCTTGTTTTTTTCAAAAGAGAAATTCATTAAATAACAAAATTCACTGGAGCAGCAAGGTAGGTGTTCCTATCAAGGTACTGCAGATGGCAGCTAACTTACTACAGCTTTGTTGGCAATTGGGAGGGAGGCTTAAATCTGAACCTTTGAGGGTAAGTATTCATCTTAATTATCATTTTGAGGGCTAAGAGTTCTCGTGTTTTAAATGAGTTCTGAAATTTTGCTGCTGCATTAAGCAAAGAAGAAGAAAATAGAAAAAGAAACCCCATCTCTAATGCTGAATATGTGTGGTAGCGGAAACATGCCTTTTTTGATTACATTATTAAATAGGGAAATTGATCAGTAGTAGCAGAAGGAAGCTGTTTTTCATGTTTATTGCTTCAAACTAGCATTGCCATCTGGCCCATTGTTAATTCTGGATTAGTTTTTCATGTTTTGTTTGCATCTTAAATTACTGTGTATAACAAAATCTGTACAGTTTGCTCGTGTAATGGTGCTAGCACAGATTGTTGGTTTGTTTATCAGTGTTTCTCTTTGTTTTGCTGACCAGAACAAGGAGATGGGAGAGAGATTTATTTTCTGTACACTCCAACTAACAACATCCTCCTCCTCTCTGGCTTCCCTCACACCTCCATTTCCTCCTCTGGCCCACACAAAATGCAGCGGCTGAGATCATCTTCTCACTCCCCCTCTACCACCTACCCAGGTTCAAGCTTCTTGTCTTAATTCTGTCCCTTCCTGCTTAACCAATCTGTTCTCTCCTTGTGTTGCTGCCTCATCCTCTGGGCTCTACTGGTTATGCCAGCCTCAGTTGCCACTTGTCTGCTCCGTCCACCACTGCCTTCCCACTGTCTCCGGGTGACACCCTTTATGCATGACAATGATCAGTTACACTGCTACCCTCTCCTGTGTCATATCCCTTCTCAAAACCCACTTTTGCCATGATGTCTTAAAGATATCAGCAAATGTTTAGTGGCTAGGCTGAGTGCAGATGGGGAAAGTCCTGATTTATCAATGTAGTTAGAAAAGTAGCACCTCCCCAACAAGTGTCCCTAAAAATATATCCATTTGATTGGCTCCCTCACTCCCCTTCCTGTGTTTCTTGTCTGCTTAGACTGTCAGCTGCTTGGGGTAGGGGGAGTTCCTGTCTGTGGGCATGTCCAGTACTGTGAGCCTTCCCAGTCCTGATTGGAGCCTTGGGGAGCTGCCATTATATTAAATAATACGAATATTTGCTTAGTCTCTTCACGTTGTTCTGGCTGGACCTTAAGGGCTAATTCAGTTCTCATGGAAGCAGATGCTACTTACTGAAGACTGTGGAGTTGCAATTGCTTATACCAGTTCCGAGTTTAGTCCTAAAGCCGTGGGGCTTGATAATGCAGGAGAATGATAATGGGATATGGAGCCTTTCACTTCTAAGGTACTAATGGGGTTTAGCCCTTTAAAGTAGGGGGTTTCATGGTACATGATTGTAATTAAGACAGACCATTCAGTCTTTCCCAGCCTACTCCATCTTGACAATCTTGCACTGGAATGTGTGTGGATAAATAGGACTAGAGGCCAAACTATTCCAAAGTGACTAGTGATTTTTGGGTGCCCAATTTGAGACCGAGAGTGGATTCTCAGGACACTGGGGAAATCTGGCCCCTCTTGGGTGTCTCAGGTTGGACACCCAAAAATCATTAGTCACTCTTGACACTCTTGGCCAGTCTGGCACTTTTCCCAACTAATGTCCTGTCATCTTCTTTTCTTTACGTGTGCTTTAGCAGTGAGGATTTTGTTCCTTGCTCTGCAGAATTCCCTTATCTAAAGCAGAGTATAATTACTATGTATTACTCTTATTAAACATTTATACTGCAATAGTGTTTAGAAGCCCCCAGCAGGGTTAGAGCCTGATAGTGTTATGTGCTGTATAATCTCCTATAAAGTCACAATCCCTGTCCCAAAAAGCTTGTCATCTAAGAATACAGTTCCCCTCAGCTTTGCAGGGGCAGAAGAGTTGGACCTAAAATGTTTATACTAGATTGCTACCTTTATTCCCACCAGTATCAGCTTTATACTTTGTCTTACTCTACATACCAACCATGTACAGTAGACTAGTTTTTGGTCTATCTCACAAGTCTGTTTTGAAGCTCTAAAGGGGCCTCTTTATGCATGCATAGAATTTCCAATAAGCTTAATGAAACTTATGTGCACACAACAAGGGAAGAATAAACTCCTTATGTCTGATACTTGTCTGAATGAAGATAAACCTGCATGGAGGGGAGCTAGAGCTGAACAGACTCCCACGTAGGACCCATAAAGGAAGCGAGAGTGTTAAAAGGCCAATTAAACCCCCCACATTTAGAAAATGATGACATTTATTTTAAAAATGACTTTTTTCTCTATTAGAGTTTTACTATGTGCTCGGGACGCTGATGAAATTGAACAATAGGTATCTCTAAATAGCTTCTCTGCTGCTCATGAGCCAATCTAATTGTCATTTTTATTAAAAATGTTAAAGGCTTGGGTTTATAATGTCCTCATGTAACTTTTGTTGTGGAAGTGGAAATGTGAATGACAGTATTGTCAACCAAAGGGGTTTGGAACCCCTAACTGCACACAGGCAAATAAAGCAAAAAAATGATGTGAAACTAGCCATGCCGAGACAGTTATTAGATGTAAGCTCTCCTCATCAGTCATGTTCCGCGGTTTGTGGCATATCTGCAGCCTCTGTTGAGAAACAAAAGTGCAGAGCACCCGGGGGAGGTCTGCCCGTTGGGTTTTATACCTCAGGAGCACGCAGAGTAGGCAGCCGTGAAGGGCAGTGGGCCAAGGTCAGTCAGGATATAACCCGCAGCATAAATTCCACATCAGGTACAAACTAATCCTGAAATGGATGTAAATGGCAAAGCAGAACAACTTGTACCCAGTCTAGTGAGTGTAGAATTACTGAGACGCTCCTTCAAAGTGGTGGGAGGGTGTGAAGGGTTGACACTACATAATTTCCTTCTCCCCCTTTGCCTTCATGCCTTCTACCATTCTGCCCTAGTGCATAGAAAACCCTTCCTCATTTTGATCTCTTCTACAGACCCACTTCTTCCCTGAGGTCCATATGGCACACACAGATAAGTACTGGATCAAGAGATAAACCATAAAGTCCTTCCTCTGGCTCTCCCAGGGCCTCTTATCTTTCTGTGTCTTGTCTTGTAGTCTGTAGGGCCTTGGCGACAGCAACAGTCTTGATGCTTGTGTTTTGTAGAATGCTAACCTCAGTGTCAAATAACAGCAAGAAAATGGAGCAGGGAACCAACTTTATCCTATTCTCTCCCCTGAGTCGCTTGTTTTGCTACAACCACCCCCCTGCATGGAACTCAGCCTAGTTTTGCATATCCACCAAATGCCATCAGTCAGAGTGAGGCTGCTTTGTCATTAAAACCCACTTTCGAACTTCTTTACGTCCAACTTGTGATTTTAAACCACAGTTTAAATAAGTTCTCAATTTGACTGAGAGGCTTCGTGAGAGTTGCATCTGTTTCCATGGGCTGATGACTTTCCAGACGCAATCCGCTAGAGTCAGCTTTAGAGAAGGGCCACTCTAGGCTGAAGACATGGAAGAGCCTGTAATAACAAAATATTTACAGGCTCCCACTTCCCAGTGAGAGATGAGGAAGCACTAATCCAAGAGAGAGAGTGTGACGAGAACCCCCTCCTCCTCCTTGAGGAGAGCTCAAGTTTGATGTACCAGAAATCTTGGAGTGGAGTTTGCCAGGGCAGTCTGCCACTTAGACTTCACCTTCTGTTGAACAGTCTCTGTCAGGCAAATTAGAAATTGTTCACCTGGATTTTTTGTTTAAATAAAAAATATGGCAGCTGAAAGAGAGTCAGAACAACCCCAGGGCAAAGGCTGCAAACAAGGTGTTTCCGAAAGAACAGCGCTGAACCCCTTGAATCCAAAAGCCAAATGAAAAATGTTTGTTGGGGTACGAGGGTTTATTCCCGGCTTCATCACTGATTTGCTGTGTGACCCTTGGCAAGTCACTTAGCCTCTCTCTGCCACAGTCTAGTGGTCTGTAAAATGAGAGTATTCATATTTACCTTCCACACAGTGGGGCTGTGAGGTTTAATCCTTTGCTTAACTCATTAAAAGAAATCTACCAAAGTTTAATGTCCAGATTTCACCTGCTCTCTGTATGTTGCTATGTTTTCTGTTTTCTTAGTTTGCAAGCTTTTTGA